GAGATCAGGGAGAGGAGAGAGGGAGTGGGGAGAGGAGACAGAGATCAGGGAGAGGAGAGAGGGAGTGGGGAGAGGAGAGAGGAGAGAGGGAGTGGGGAGGGGAGACAGATCGGGGAGAGGAGACAGTGAGCAGGGAGAGAAGTCCTGAATTGGAGTGGAGAGAGGGAGCAGGAAGGAGCAAGGAGAGGAGAGAGGGATCAGCAGGGTGAGGAGAGAGGGATCAGGAGAGGACACGGCGGAGTATGGAAACATCTAGATGCTGGAAGTATACTTAAAAAGCCTCTTGAAACTGACCGCCCTCGTGTTTTGGGAGTCTGGGTTATAGCTACAGCAGCTTTGATTCGAATAACAGGATGTTTGGAAATCTGGAGAGACAGAGCACACTTCTCTGGGGAAGAGGAACCCAGAAATAGATGCAGTACTGCTGTACAACAGAGAGAAACCTCAGGAGCAGCTTCATACTGTATATCTATTTAAACAGTGCTGGGGGTCAATGCGGTATTGATTTGTAACACAGCACAGAAAATGGGATTCACACAGGGGGAGGCTCATCAGTGAATGAGGCCGATGGCCTTGTGAGTGGGGGGGGTGGCTGAAGGAGGCTTTACATAAGGTGACCTTGTTCACTTTTAATGTAAGGAAGAGAGGGAAAAAAAGGCAGCCGTGGCTGAAATTACTAAGCAGTAAAATAAAGCACAGTCTTTCAAAGAAGACTGCGCATAAAGAAATATGTACACTTGGCCCTGATCTATTACAAGGGCTGAAATAGAAGCAATGCAATTTAAGAATATAGGAACTGTTACGAAAATAAAAGGAGGCCATCTGGCCCATTGAGCCTGTTTGGTAGTTAGGTCATTATTGAGCTCATCCAGTCATTTCTTGAAAGAAGTTAGGGTATCTTCTTTGATATCATGGCAGGGTAGCTTGTTCCATACTCCCACCGCCCTTGGTGCAAAGAAGTGTTTCCTGTTCTCAGTTTTAACTGCACTTTCTTGTGCAGTCATTTGTTCTATGGTTACAAAAACCTGATTTAAAATCAGATGAAACTCACTAGCTTTTGAAAATGTACACAGAGCATGAAGCAGCAGAGAAAGTCCAGTGAAGTGGAATGCAGTCTGAACAGTGTCAACTGAGATGAAATAGCATCAATACATGTACCAGACAGCAGGCTTGTGCCAGGAGAACTCTCATGCCCCTGGGATAAAAGCCTTCTCTTATGTCAAACTTTGCATGGTGATGGAGATTAAGGTGCCAATCAACAGGACATGTTTATGTCTGCTGCAGATTGTGCATGGGATTTTTTTGCAGCTGTGTTATCTCTAGATCAAGGCTGACTGTACTAATTTGACAGAGCTCGGCTAAACGGCTTAATATCTCCCCCAGTACACTGTCTTCCATGGGTCTTTGCCTTGACTTTAAAAGACTGTTCTATTTTCCTACAGATGTCAATGAAAATATGTACAAAGTATGTCCTTTATACTGTATATACTTAATGTCACAATGCTACGGATTTCAGGGTCTGTTAAATGTAAAAAAAATCTTTTTTTTTTCAAGCACAAGTTTCTGGATAGTTTTCTGAATTCCAGAGGGCTTGGGCAGGCAAATATGGATTTTGACCAGATCCACGCTTTATTGATGGAGAACATTATAATCCTTCAGACAAACACAGTTTATCTGATTGTTCATTACAAGGTTTGCTACTAAAACATATACTAAGGGTGAGGGGGGGGGGGGAGATTTTATCCTCATTGTCATCCAAGTACTTCCTTCCTTGAGGAAGATACAATCTGCCTGAAAACAAGGCCGGCGATCCTGGCCCTCTGATTTATTTGGAGAGAGCTCTTGTATGGAGCACAACACATCCCTGCCATTTCCTGTGCAGAAGAAAAAAAAAATCCAGCGCCCAGCACAGCACATTACATTAATTAAGAAGGCTCCCCCTGGTGCTCATGTTGGGCTGTTGCACGTTCGGCCTCATCTGAGCACTGGCCACAGTGGCCAAGAGGAGCTGATAGAATTGACTTCGGATTCTGTAAATGTGCAGCGACTGGGGTTTGGTTACACCTTCTGGCCGTGACACACCTGCTAAGTGGCCCTTGAATTCCTTCATCCCGGAATACGCACAGGGCGGAGAATGGTGCAGGCACCTGTTAATCTGCGGGAGTAAGCACTGAAGGAGTCTTTCTGGGTGTCTGAAAGCTTGTGCATGCACCCCACAGCCAGGTGGGGCAGCTGAGTACTGTGTGAGAAAGTAGACACACAGGAGGGCCAGTTCCCCAGGGCAGGAAGGCGAACTCTTGAGGGAACAATCAATTCCATCCTGCGAAATTCTTAAGAGAGATCATGGTTATAAGGCAGGCAAGAATCAAATTCATCACGAAATAATAAAAACAAATTCAATGTGTAGCTAGGAACTTAGTTACTGAACACCGGGGGTTTTGTGTGAGAACACAGTGCTGGAACACTGTTCATGGTTTCTGTAGACAGAAATAGGGAGCTCGTTTTCATCTGTGTTGTGTTTACCTGTGTAAGCGGTGCTTTGCTGAATACAGACATTTCTGAATAGTTTCCTTTAGAAATGAATATCTTTGGTTTCAGAATATGTCCTTTTCATGGTCAATGTATGTCAGGTCAGAGAAGACTGTGGTTTTCCACTATGAGATATTACAGTATAATAATCGATTTGTTTGAAGTGCCCAGTGACTTCAAGGTGTGTTTCACCTCAATCCTGATTTTAAAAGCCCTGATTGGGAATCTGGGGATAGAGAACTTTACTCATCAAGGATTTGTGTCGTTTTTAGCAGAGTTGCATAGTTTAGAAGTTGCAAAAGTTTCTTTTTTCTTCTTGCATGAATAAAGAGGTTGACTGTCTACTGCATTGCAGCTGCCAGACCACATGTTTTATTGGCAGTGTGTCTCCCAGCGTTGGGCCATCTGTCTGTCTGTGTTGGGGTTTCCAAGCCCTTTAATGAAACTGGGTGGAAGTGAACTATGTACTTCTCAATGGGGGATTGAGAGAAGACACCTAATTGTGCAGTTTACAAATGCACCCCTCTTTGGAGCACAATCCATTGGTCAAAAACAAAAATGAAAAGGAGCATCTGTACTTGAGTATATGTGCTGAATGCTGCACGAATGTCATTCCCCAGAGTGTCAATTCATTAGATTGGCACTTTTCCCCATCTCCGCCTGCAGGAAACATCTGGCTTCGGCCTCAGTCCGGCAGGGTGGGAATGCTCCTGAATAATCACGCAGTCCGTGACCTAAGCCGAGAAGCTGAAGTCCTTAGACCTGCCACTGTGAATGGCTCTGGCGTCTGTATTATACGGACACAGATTGCTGAAATCAAACAAGAACAAAATCGTTTACCACCACGAGGAGGGTTTTGTCAAATCAAGCCATTCCGCCCGTTTTAGAATAATTTCAAGAAAAGTGCGAAGCCTTGAAGCCTTTATAACGTGGTAAGCATCAGCTCAGTTCTCCTGGTTAAGCACTTAATTGCTGTAATTGCCCATCTCGGCAGGTGATGTGACTTACCTTGAAAGCGCAGCTCAGAAAGCAGGCTGCCGTCGCAATCATCTAGATAATGTGCACCCTCCTCTGAGCTCCAGAATAATCAATAAATTAATCCAGGCACCCCGCTGGCTTGCGCTGTTTAACATAATCAGATTTGGAAGCCACATACTAGTGTCTCATACATTTTGATAGCTGTCATTAGGTTTCTCGCAGGTTTAGCATTGAGTATGCTTATAAGAAGCCCCTGCTGGGTCACTTCAATAGAGTGTGCTGAATGAGCTGGCATTAGCTGAAGTGCACTTTTACATTCTTCTTTTTCCCCTCCTCCTGGCCGCCCTGTGACGAGAGCGCGGACTCGGCTGCTCACACTGACCGGCTCCCCGGGCTGTTCTCTCTCTGCTGCTTTTGCAGACTTGGATTGGCAACCGCCGCAGGAAGTACCGCCTCATGGGCATAGAGATCCCGCCCCCAAAGGGCGGGCCGGCCGACTTCACCGACCAACCGGAGCCCGGGTCGCCGGGGGGGCGGACCCCCGGTGGAGAGACAGCCAAGACCCCCGAGCTGGCCGAGGACAGTGACCACAATGACGAGGTGTCCATCTGTCTGTCCGAGGGTGAGACTGCTCTGCCTTCCTCTGCTACGACACTCGGTCTTCCAGCTCGCTCACCCAAGCCGATCGATCCTGTAGTGAGAGACCCAGCACTGCAGGCTGACCTTGAGCAGTGGTCATGGAAGCATCGGTTCCCAACCCCAGCCCTAGTTCTGGGGTACCGCTATGTCTGCTGGATTTTGCTGCGAATGAGTTCTGAATCCCAGGCTAATGGATTTCAGTTTCCCACCTGGGGCAGCTTTTTAAATTGGTGTTCAGCCCTTAAAGCGCTGGCTGCTGTTTGTAATTGGAATCAGCCCAGTTCCTCATTGAGGTGATTCAGGTGTGCTGCCTGAAATAGTAACAAGTAAAATAAACTGTCCTTCCCACCTGTGCCTGTCCATTATAAACCGTTCGCCTGTTAATGGCTGTTTAGTCACAAATAAAGGTAATCCGGTTCAGGACAGACTGGGTAATGACTTGTATGATGAAGTTGTGTGGAAACACTAAAGCAGGAGTCTAAACAAGACAGCAGATCAATTCGAAGCATCGCTTAGCGCTGGTGATTTAGAGCTCAGTTGGGACAGCAGCGACACAGTGTTCCTCCAGGACCAGGAATGGGAACCATGGATTTAGACCAGATGAGTCTAAATCAGTCAGGCCATTAAGAGCCCAGGCGCACCGAGAACTGAAAACTGTCGTTGCTTTCCAGGCGTGAGAAATGTTGGTCCAGATGTACTGCTCAAATGTACCTCTTGACCCATCTGGGATTTGTTCAGCAGCAACCAATTAGGCAAAAACGTAACATGTATTTTAACAAAAGCAATTAAAAGAAAGAAAGACCATTGCTAGCCAGAGCTGTATTTCAGTCAGGGGCCTGCTCCTCTTCCCCCAGTCTCCTGATCATACTGGACGGGCTCTCAGCCTTGAGTACAGAGAGCCCTAAACCTCTCTATGGTTTCTGTGGCTTTCTCATCTGCTTAGAAAATCTTTCAGAAATGTACATTGTCAGCTGGTTTACAAACTTCATTTGTTCACTACAGTCAAGTGGGCCCAGGTTCTGAACAGAATAATTGTGTGATCATTTTAATGACATCTAAATTACTTTTATTGGACACATCACCTGCCATAGGCTTGATAACAGAATTGCTGCAAGGCTTTGCATTAAATGTTTTAGTAATGAATGATCTAAGCGTTCCTCCTCTCCCAGACCAGGGCTGGCCATCCAGGGTTTACTGTGTATTCTGCTGGGGTATGGAGAAAGGAGCTGGACTTGGGTGAGCTCTGCCTCGCCTCTCTATTGGTCGAGAAACAGACCATTGATGAAATCTTGTCCATGAATCCTGAACTCCTGTCTCCCGGGCCTGTTTTGAGTAATACAGACTTCCTGGGACAATTTACTAAAATCAACACTTACACATCACATCCTTAGCCAAAGTCTAGCGGGAGAAAAAATAACTGTTGGTTCCATTATGCACTGCAGAGGATTTCTGATTAATTAAGCTTTCGAAAGCTCAAAGGAACAATGGCCTACGTTCATCACACATCTCTTCTGCAGGGAGCAGTTGGCGCTGTCTTTTACTTGCTCGTTGCTTTTTATCTGGCTAATTAATATTCCTCTAAAAACAAAGACAGCAGACAAAAATGTCCCTATTGTTTCCACTACTGCTGCTCGACCGGTTAAATTAAGCTGTTAAGTTGAAAAAATGCAACTGTTATGGAATTAAAAAGCACAGTGGATCTGGAGATCCAGGTCTGTGCTGGAGTCTCATACCGCTGTGTCCATGGAGCAAGAGAGCAGGAGATGGAGGGAGAGGTGTCAGAGGGAGTTAGTGGGAGAGGGAGGGGAAGAGGGAGGGAGAGGAAGAGGGAGCCAGTGGGAAAAGGAGGAAGGGAGAAGGAGGGAGAGGGAGAGAGAGCCAGTGGGAGGAAGAGGGAGCCAGTGGGAGAAGGAGGGAGAGGAAGAGGGAGTTAGTGGGAGAGGGAGAGAGGGAGTCAGTGGGAGAGGGAGGGTGCATTTCTATAGAAGCATGTTGATCTAGTGCGTCTAGCTTCTTCCTGTAGGTGTAAATCAAATGACCACATGTTTCGGGCTCTCACTGGTCTCCTCACACTGGGTGTCTTTGTGGGTGACCAGATGGCTTCTCTGTTGCTCCAGATGGGGTGAGTGACACCTACCAGCGAGAGGAAGGGGAGGACATGGATGGAGAGACAAACAGCACGGCTCTGACTGACAACGTGGTACGCCTCTCCCGCTGTCCTGTACTCCGCCGAGACCCCCCCCTGTTGAGGAGCTCAGGCTCTGGGAGCTAGCAGTCAATTCCCTTGAAAGTTATCAGTTTGACAGAACTGATAGCTGGATAGATTGCCATGTCAGGAAAGGAAGAGCCTGAGTCACAGGGCCTGGCCCTGGACTGGTCATGGCGTTGCTGGTTGAGTCAAGATGGGTTTGACCCATGAAACAGTAGAATCCAATGATAGTAGCGGTGCCAGGGACTGCAGTGGGAGAAAACTGCAGAGCAGGACAACACGCACTGAAAACAAGGAAAACTGGTTTGCAAGCACAACATTTCACAGTTGCCATTGATGGCTTTTCTGTCCACTCACCTTAGTAGAGCTGCCAGTGCTATCTGTTGCCTTATCTCCGCACATCCCTTCCACATCTTATTGTCCAGCTTCACTTGCTGTCAGTGGCTGCAGTTAACCACCTGGAATGGGTGTCCCTTTCTGTTTTGAGCACTGATCAGCCATCACCTGTCTCTCATGGAGTTTCCCAGTTCTATAGAACAGGACCAGGCAGAATGTTACTTGACAGCTACCTCTCAATGAGCTCCTCTCGCCCCACTCTCCAGCCTGTCCAGTGCACAGATCCAGCTGTGTGCGAGGACGTGTGCAGGTCCCGCATGTCAAGTGTGAGTGTGCCCGTCCACTGGCCACGCTCCACCCTCCGCTCGGTCCTCTTTTAATCCCTTTGTTTTTCAACAGAAAATAGAAATAATAGACGACGAGGAGGAAGAGGAGGACGAAGAAGACGCGAGTGGTTCTGACGTGGAGCAGATGCAGACTCTTCTGGACTACAAGGTGCGGTACTGCTGGACAAGGGCGGACCACCCAAGCGGTCTCATTTCATTGCAAGTTCTCTTTCCAGTCCGTCCTCAATCAGTAAACCGATCTTTAGCAGGAGGTTAATTAAAGATCAACTAACAATAACAGAGGTGTCTTAACCTGGTATCAGAAGACCAGTGTTTCTATAAAACATGGGTGCCTTCAGAACTAGATGGAGTTGTTCATTCGGCCCACTCAAACCAACAATAGGCTGATCTGTGTTGTTAGAAGCCAGAGTTTCTTCTGGATTGAAAAGACACACCAAGCCCCCGTGTCCAGGACTGGATGCTGGAGGGGTGTCATGTGCTCTGTTCTGCGGATGGATTCATGGCCGTCTTCAGTCTCTCACAGAGCTACCCCAGTTATAACATGAGACTGTGCCTCTGCGCAGAGCTGCCTCTTAATGAACGCGTCAAGCCCGTTGAGATCTAATTTAGTCTCCGGCTTGTACAGTGTAGAAATGCGTCCAGCTGCGTTTGACCTGAAACTGCATTAAAGACAAACACGGAGAAGTTGGATACATGCATTTAAAAACAAACAAAGTGTGGAGCAGCATTAACACTCAGTCGTATGGCAGGGTCTGCATAACGCACTGTTGTCCCGGAGGCTGGAAGCCAGTCTTTCTCAGATGCTTTGGAACCATTTCGAGAAAGACTGCAGACAGCAGTGTTATTACTGTTTCTTCAAGTGAGGAGCATGAAACAAGTCTATTAATGCTTTCTAACTGCAAATGCAAAGGCTCACTTCTGCAGTTTTATGGATGCCTCTTTAAGTATGGTATTGGAAATTATTATTATTATTATTGTTGTTGTTGTTGTTGTTGTTATAATAATATATTTATTTTACCTCATATGTTGCCCAGACCACTTACCCCCCATCTTGAGCCTGAAGAACTCCAATCCTTAACATTTCACATCCTAAGGAAAACGATACAAGTTCAAAAAGAAAGAGGAGACCTTTTAACTGCTTGTTCAGACACCAGTAGCTCATTCATGTCGGAATTTCGTGCATTTGTCTCCTAGAATTGCTCACAGGGAATCTTATACCAGCATGGCTGGAGAGCTTGAGCCCAGCACCCACAACCCTTTTTGTGCAAGGAGGTGTCCCCTGCATTCAGTTCCTGCTGTACACAATGTCCACTTGTGTCCATGGGCTCTTGTTTAAGTCAGCGGCCTACGATGACATGACTCTTCATACAGTAAGCCAGTAAGAGACTTGGAACTGGATCAGGCTGAAAGCTGGAGGCCTGTGGCTCTGCAGCACCAGAGCTGGTGACCTGATCTAGCCACAGTGCTGGACAGCGACGTGGCCAGCTGGCCTAGACACCGTCCACTGCAGTGGGAGGTTTTCAGTCTCCACTCCACTCAGTGTTGGGACTTCCGCTCTGAGCTTTTTAATCACTGAGTTGCATGGGTTAATTGTTAACAGCTTTTAGTGTGACGTTCTTGTTCTGGCTATTTATATGTATGAACTTCCAAAATAAACGCATGAATACGTGATTGGTACCCAGTGAGATGGGATCAGGGCAGGAATGATGTGATGTGCCCCACTTCCTGTGTTTCGGGGAACCAGTTCTCAGCAATAGTTTCTGCATCCTTGTTCAGGTGCTCACGCTGGCAAAAAAAAACAGTCCAGTCATTCAACACGGGTAGATGCTAAGACCTTCTCCTTTCATTTTCAGCATGAAGAGGTCAGATTCTTGGAGAACGAGCTAGAGAACCAAAAACAAAAATATTACGAGCTACAAAACTTCACCCGGAATCTGCTGGTCGCTGTGAAGAGCAACAACACAGAGAAACAGCAGGTAAGGAAGACGGGCTGGAAGGGCTCTGTTCAAGAAGCCCTTTCCATGCCGGTAAGTTGATAAGACGATCAAAAGCCTTTACAGTTGCCTGTAGGGGTTCCAAAACTAGCCTGGATGATTTTCATGTTGTTTTCCAGCTTTCCTGCACTGTTTTGTTTTTATTAGAGGGTAAAACGGGCAAGAATGTTTCATATTTGTTAGACAAGGAGGGGTGGCTGGGGACACTCATCACAACCTTGGCCTTTTGGGGAGAATAGTCAAATACAGACGTAGAAGACAAGGAGACAACGGTATTGAGTGTCTTTCTCCTCTAGTGCTGTTTTCATCGTGCATCTGTATGATGGGCATCACAGAGAAGACAAAGTTTGAAACGTTCCAATAAAAGAAAGAAGACCCCCATTACAGGGCCATTTGACCCAGGCTCTTTTCTAAATAGAGCAATGAAGTGGAAAGCGCACCTGAGGCCGTGTTATTTCAACTCTGCCATGTCTGTCTCTCCCCTGCAGGAACTGTTATCCAAATTACCTCAAGAAATCGAAGAAGACCTGGAGCTGGATCCGGGGCCGGAGGAGTCCAGCGGGTCTATGCTCATGATCCAGGGCTATTCCTCTGTATCAGAGGAGAAGGTGGATCCGGGCCCATTGTGACTCCTCCCCCTCGTCACGCCCTGTCCCTCACCGTGCCTGCTGGCTGACACATCTGACTGTGCTGGGAGCGCTTCCCTGCTGCGTATCACTCTGCCTTGTTAAGCAGGGAAGGCGCCAGCTTCGTTATTGAGTTTTGATGGGTATATTTTATTCTGCAAAAATAAACCGATGAAGGAAAAACACGAGTCACGGTCTCTGTCTTTCGTTTCGAGGGGTGAATAATGGGAGACAGTGTTCCTGCCCTGACACGCAGATCACACTGAAGGTTTCAGTTTTTTTTTTTTACATTTGAATAATAATAACAACACTTTTAAGACTCTCTGTGAGGGACCGGAGCCCAATGTGATGAGCAGTGTCTTGGGTTTTCTTGGCTGTCATTTATTTTTCTGTAGTGTTTTGGTCTCAGACTGAGTTTGTTGTCTCATGAGGTCCGGGGACAGACGCCTCACCAATCTTCAGGACCCAGGGATGAGGATAAGTTGACAGTGCACAGAATTCTAATTTTGGCACTTGACAAACTCATTCTGAATAGAAGGTGGCACAACGGTCCTTTTGACTGACTTTTTCACAAATCATAATAATTATAATAAGCAGTTTTATGTCTCGTCCAAAGGACAGAACGTTTTCACAGTGTAGTGTCCCCGTCACTATACTGGGGCATTAGGACCCACAGTAGATAGACCCACTCACACCTCTTCCAGCAGCAGCCTCAGCTTTCCCAGGAATCTCCCATCCAGGTACTGGCCAGGCTCACACCTGCTGAGCTCCAGTGGGTTGCCAGTGGTGACTTGTAGGGTGATATGGCTGCTGATACAGGAAATGCATTAACTATATATTTCTGGAAGTAAAGTACCAGTATTCAGGCTCAGAACCATAGGTGCACATAGTAATTTTAATAAGTGTAAACAGTACTGTCTTCCCAGACAACAGGGTCTTTGCACGCAAGAGCTCCCTGTTAGAGAAGCACATTTCCTCCTCACATTCACTGTTGTCATGCGCTGCTCACCTGACAGCTTATATGAGCTTGTTCCGTTCCTTTCAGAGTCCCCTAGATGTGCCCCATTATAGCCATCTATTTCTAAAATCCCTGCTCTTGTTTTCTAATAATAGATCTAATCTTCAGTCTCTCCCACGGACTCTTCCTGAGATGTTGTGGCATGCCCGATGTCCTCCTCCCCCCCTCTCAAGGTCATCAGAGAAAAGATTAGAGGAGACATCAGCTGCGGGGAGCAGAGGCTACTGAGAAAAAAAAAGCAGGTGAAAAGAAATCTTCCCTTCCATCCCAGAGCTTATCTCTCCCACACACCCGTCTCTAATGTTCTTTGGAACAAATGTGCTGGAAGAAATAAGAGGCTTATTCCTGTCCCTTCTGTCCTGACTTCGCTGGGGTCATCATGGTTCTGCATCTTTCTTATTCCCGGCACAGCAGGTAGGAGGAAGCAGAGAGGGCTCCGTGCTCCTCAGCTCAGGGCCAGCATGTCTCCAGTTTGAAGACGTTGTGCCTCCAGGCATCTTTTCAGCTCAAGGCAGGGGGAGGTAAGCGCTGACCCCTCTACTAGGTTGTTAAAACCAGTCGTTTAACTGGGAATGATCATCTTCTTCCAGCAATTCATAATCAGGGCGCACCAAAATCCCTTATTTGAGGTGTCAGATGATTTTTTTGCAATGCAGTGCACTAGTCTAGCAGAGCGAAAGAATTTGACATCTTTAACGGCTAACAACTTAAAAACAAAGGGTGATTGAGATCGTTATTACAACTTTTATAAAGTTGGGGCTTTCCTGTTCTGATCCTCGTGATGCCAGTGTCTGCTGGTTCTCCTTTGAGCTGAGCTCCAAGTTACTCAACTGAACCAATAAATGGAAATAATAATTTGCTTAAGTGAAACTGTTCACTTTCATTTTCAGCATCTGCTACAAAGCTGCCAGTTAATAAAATGTAATGGCTTGAAATCTCTAGCAGATAAAGCGCAGACAACAATTATATCATTTAAAAGTAATTGCATCAGCGCTGCAGTTGAGGGTTCTGTCACGCAGGTGAGAGCTCAGCTAGAACGAAGACCCAGCAGTCTCTGAGGAGAGATCAGATTCCCCAGGATTGGAGAAGTCCTGTATTGTGAATACAGCCTAAAGCCCAGAACTACAGCCACACCATGGGACCTGGCCCTGTTGTCCTAGCAGGTGTGCATGCTGAAATCCTGACAGCCCCAAATACTAACGACCTCGTAACACCTTGAGTACGGTAAGTCCGCTTTGATAAGAAAAGAACCCTCTAGCCCCCCTTCTGATCCTGGGGACCCACACACCTGTTGCTTTTTGTTCAGTCGGAGCTCTCAATCATATAATGGAACCCTCAATAGAATTCATAACAGGTTTCATTTGAATTTTTCAATTTGATTTCAGTTCCTGAAAGTGTAGGAGGTTGTTTTTTAACCATTGCACTTCTCATGTTATTTAAACTCTCCAATCTCCGAGGAGAAAAACAAATCTTGCGAAAGTTCCAGGCAAGCAACCTGTCGGCTCAATAAATGATTCATTTAAGCAAAGAGCTCAGTGCAGGCAGGTGTGTGACCTTAAGGTCAGGAGGAAAAAACGCTGCTTTACAACAGCAGCACCTGGGGAGCTGACACAGGCTCTTCAGCTGGACAAATTCAACCAATAATGAGCTGATGGGGGATGTCATCCCTGATGTAGCCCTCCAGAACCATGACTGATGATACCTGGTACAGCTCAGGACCAGGACTGCGGACCCACCCCAGCTATAAGCTCTCCAGGACCTGGACTGTAGCTCTCCATCACCAGAACTGGGACTGGGTACCCCAGCTGTAGCTGTCCAGGACCAGAACTGGCACTGGGTACCCCAGCTGTAGCTGTCCGGGACCAGAACTGGGACTGGCACTGGGTACCCCAGCTGTAGCTGTCCTGGACCAGAACTGGGACTGGCACTGGGTACCCCAGCTGTAGCTGTCCAGGACCAGAACTGGGACTGGCACTGGGTACCCCAGCTGTAGCTGTCCAGGACCAGAACTGGGACTGGCACTGGGTACCCCAGCTGTAGCTCCCCAAAAGTGGTAACAAACAGTGCTGCTGGCACACTGAGAGGCAGAGGTTGACTGCAGATGTTTGGCGTTGTGAGGTGCAGGTAGTCTCCCAGCCGTCCTCAGATCAGCTGAGGGAAGGGGACCCACACACCTGTTGCTTTTGTTCAGTCGGCGCTCTCAGTTTTAGGCTCCATCGCATCATTGAACTCGCTTCTTGCTTAACTCAACCTCAGTAAAACCTGGAGGTTTTCTATTCATCTTATACAATGGCCCGCCACCAGCAGAGACTCATGCGGGTGATGAGACTGATTGGGAATTGGTTCAATTAAGAAGCTGAGGGGAAGGATACCTCATGCAGACCAGCTGCCACTCCCACTGCTATCCTGCTGGTCAGTCAGGGCGGCGATGGCTGACCCACCCATCTGGGCATTTTCTAATCTCTTCTTCCAGTTCAGGGTTGCGGGTGAGCCAGAGCCTATCCCAGCAGGCAACAGGCGCAAGGCAGGGTACACCCTGGACGGGACGCAGGGCACACAGACACACACAGACACACACACACACACACACGCAGACAGACATGCACACACGCAGACAGACATGCACACACACGCAGACAGACATGCACACACACGCAGACAGACATGCACACACACACACACAGACAGACAGACACACACGCGGACACACAGACAGACAGGCACACACGCACACGCACACGCACACACCAGGGCCAATTTCCTGAAGCCAATTAACTGACCAGCCGATCTTTGGATTCTGGGAGGGAACCCAAGCAGACACAAGGAGGACATACAAACTCCACGCAGACAGCACCCCAGCTCCAGAATTGCCAGCAGCCATATCACCCTGCAACTCACCCCTGGCAGCCCCACTGGAGCTCAGCAGGTGTGAGCCTGG